TCTGTGTCCACCTTTATCACCCTTGCCTCTATCTCTTAAGTATCAGCTGGAGCACTGACTTACGGAATATACACAGTGGGTATGATAAAATTTTCCCATTTACCTGGGTAAATCCTGTCACATGGCCATGTGGAGTAGATACTTTAGATCACCAAAGATATATGTACCACACTGTAGTTGACTACATGTCTTTGGTAAGGGTTTTTTGTTGTTTTAAAAAGTGTGCATGGTATAAATCTGCTTAGTTCTACAGGTAGGAACTAAAAATATGGCATGCTAGCCCTGCCTTTAATGTGACAGAATCTCATCTGCCACAAATTAGGGCAAAATTCTGCCGGATCTCTGCCACTTTGTATGAGTAAAATCATCTGGTCCACTGACTCTCTTTTCTTGAGGAGAACTTCATGCCTCTGGCATGTTGTGTCACAGGAGAAAAGCTCTCCTTTTTTCTGTGACTTATCTGCCTTCTCCATCATTGGGACCATCGCCTGGTGGGGCATCTATGGCCCTAGTTGTGATGCAGCAGTCTGCTAGAAGGAATTAATTTGCTTTCAGGAACATAAGCCAAATTAACACCTCTAAATTGTATTAGCTTATGAACTGTCTTGTTCTTGTCTTCAGCTACTTGAAACTTTTAATGTACCATGTTTTCAGAGGACCTTTTTTCATTAGATTACCGTCTTTAATTGCACTGAGATTTATTATGCCAGTGCCTGACCATCTCTTTCCTGAGCCTGTTAAACTTCTGTCTATAGATGTCAGGAAAAATTTTGTTTGAAAACTTTCAATGAATCTTTAGCTCAATATGATTTTTTTAGAAACAATTTATAGTTTGCCATTTACTTAAATAGAATCAGGAGCTCTTCTGTGGAAGATTTAAAGAGAATCTGGTTTATTTCCTTTCTAAGCCCTCAATTTGTTGTTGGTTTTCCACTATAGAACAGTAGGATTCCTTCTTGTCATCCAGAGAGAGGGAGGAAAGAAGAAAATCCATGATAGATATTCATTAATCCATATTTTCTCCTTTATAAATGTGTTAATTCAAATTAAAATCTTGAAAATTCAGGGCAGTGCATGAGACTTCAGACTGGTACATTTTATTTAAAGAGAGATGAAAATAACATGGCTTTGGGACTTGTCATTAGGAGTCTAAGCAGCTGCAGAGGAAGGAATATTAATACTTATAGCTGAATCAGATTTAATTCAGACTTAGTGGGACTACAAACCACTGTATATGTGTTTACATGCTTACATGCATAAATAATATATCTTTTAGATCTATATTATGCTTAAAATATTTTAGTCTCTATGTAGATATTTTATAATGCAACGAAAACATACAATATGACTGGACTCTTTTTATGAAGAAAGCTACAGTTAATTAGTAAAACATAGGCCTTGAGGTCCCCCAACAATTCACATGATCCTCAGCCAAATGCCACATTTGGTTGGATGGTGGTGTCTGAGTAAAGGTACAGTAAAAAACCTGCATGAGTTTGTGCTATTCTGCCTTCCCCTGAAGATATCCAGCATTTTAAGGAGAATAAGAACAGCTGAAGTGGAAGACGAACCCAGAAAATCGATGTTTTTTTACAACCTTTACCTTTACAGTTATTCACTAGTGATTAAGAGCTTCACTCAAGTGTGAAAGGAATAATGTTGCACATGTGCAGTATAAGACACCCTGCTCCCAAGGGCTTAACACCATAAGAGCAGTGACACCATGCTCTGGTGCTTGGTTTGGGACTGGTGAGCTCTGAACGCACACTGAAATTAAAGAACAGGGGATAAACTCTGAAAAAAAGCAGCAATCCTCAAATGCTGGTAAAATGCAGATGGGTGAGATACCACTTGGCTTGTTTGTCCCAAATTAGGGAATGCATGAGAGAAGGACATCCACCTATTGCAGTGGGCAACTAAAACAACATTGGATTTCTTCTTCTTCTGTCAATAATTGTCATTTTGCCCTCAGTGGACTGTGTGGGATTTTTGTCAGGAATAATACTCTGCAGTTAGTGAGGTAAGATGATATTTAGAGATGGTCAGGAGCTACTATGGAAACAAAATTAATTCTGTCCTTGGAAATGAAGCACGTTTCTTCTCAATAAAATTCTCATTGACAAAAGGAGCTTTTACATCACTCTACTGAGCCTAAACAAGTCCTGTCACAATTTCTACAGCATGATCTTTTTTGGTCTCTATGTCACTGAGCAACATAAATAAGAAGATCTTTATGGTCCATTTTGGTCTTCACATTTTTGTATAGTAGTTACCAGCAGACAGTTCAGTTAATGTCACTCAGTTCCTAATGCCATTTCTTGCTTTCACACAATTGTCATTTTACAAGAAGTATTTTTTAATTGTTTTGCTTTGCTGCAGAGCAGTGTTTTTTTTTCCTCAGTGGATTGTGCCCTCAAGGTTGCTAAATGGCGTAGAGCCAAAAAGATTTTATCCATTAGTGTTTATACCTTTGTAAAATATGTAACAAAACAGGTTAATTTAAAAAGCAAAAGAGGAAATATTTTATCTATTTTTGATAGTTTGTCTCATACTTCAGCCTGTCAGTTAGTAACTCTATGGTGATCATTTCATCATCAAGTGTGGCAAAAATAAACTAGACCTTTCTTGACAAAGAGCTGGGAGAGATCATACAGATCTTTGGTAGGGAATTAGGCACTAGGTATTGTGCACCCCTCAGAGAATTTCTTCTCTTGCCTTAGTAGGGTGTATTCAGAGTCAGCTGCAACAGGAAAGAATCAAGGCATAAATTATTTAGATCTATTAAGTATCAAATTAAGAATTGTCAACACTAACAATGTGTGTCAATTTTAAAATAGTCCCACCACAGGGATAAAATATTTCATTGATTTCACAGCATTTTTATTGGAAAGAAATGTTCTGCACAACCAATTAATTCAATCAGTTCACTGGCAGCAGATATTTTTGCTCATATAGCATAGCACACAACTTTTGTTCAGACAAGGTCTAGGACAGTAGGAGATGGCACTTCAAAGAAAAATTTTTCACTGCTAGGGATGTATCTTATTTTTTGGCTATTGCTCAGCAATGAAAGTGAGTCATTGGTCAATTCACTCTCATTGTGTCATTTGTTAAATTTGCTTTCATTCCTTTTAGGCCTTTCTCTGAACAGATGGAAAATTCAGCTCTCAGAGATGACTCCTTTAAAATTTTTCCTTCCTGCTTGATCAGGTAGCCTCAGTATTGCAAAGGGATATCAGAAGCTTTGTGTTCACCAAGGTGCTTTTCCAAAGTGGTTTTGTCCTTACAGCCAGACCCTAATTCAAGCAGCAGGTCACAAGTCAATGTAAATAGGCAGTGGGTAATAGAGTGCTGAGAGAAGTGCTTACAATTATTTTGTCATGTATTGACTTATAATTTATGCCTCAGTTCTAATGAATTGAAAAGCTTTCTGAGGCCTTTTTTTTCTCCGACTCTGGAGATCACCTGGTGCTCATAGTGATCAGGGCAGACACTGTTAAAACTATGCAATTAACTAACACTATTTATAGTTGAAGGTTACTTGGTGCTGTATTTCTTTCTTTTGCAAGGGGAGAGAGTCTTCTGGTAATGAAGCTGGCATTGATTCCTTCACAGTGAAAAGGACAGCTTGTCTCTGCCTTCATGAACTCTTCCAGGGGGACACCTGGGGAATAATAGGCCAGTCCCACAGACTGACCACCTTCAGATGAGAGCAGAGTCTGCATTTTGGATGAGACATACCTCTGCCAGGTTTTGTAAGGGAACCCAGAAGCAGCTTTTTAGAAAGACAGACCTTTTAATGAGTGTGTTCTATTCTGTTTTCTATGAGTTATTTCTGTGGAGAAGTTCATACACCTTGGAACGTGGTGTTGTTGAGGTTTGAACTCAGCCGGCAGTGGCTGGCCATTCACCTCCCCCCTCCCTGGTGAAATAGGTGAGGAACAAAAAGAAGAGAATTTGTAGGTTGAATAAAAAGAAAGAATTTACTAAATATAACAAGAGAACAACAGTAACAATAGTGAGTTCAAAAAGAAATGGCGGAGCGTGGCAACCACACCCCCGCTCCCCCCCAGCCACACATGACCGGACAGGAAACCTGAAAACAGCAATGACAGAGCGAGCGCCCGTGCCCCCCTGTATCCCTGGGCATGGCATCACATGGGATGAAACACTCCTGTGACTGATCCGGACCTGGCCCTCCAGCTGTGCTCCCTCTCAGCCCAGGGAAAGTTAACTCTATCCTGGCCAAAACCAGGACAGGTGTGTGGAAAGACTTCACATGTGGTGCAAGGGGGCAAGACAATATGATATGAAATCGTAACGTTGCAGACATCTTCTAGATTTCAACTAACTGATTACTAGTTATACCCACAGGCTACATGTAAGATCAGGTGTGTCCCCCTTAGCTTTGCAGCTGTACATATGGTGTCTGAGAAAGTTTCATCTTTGACAAGCTTATGGCTAAATACCTGAGATAAATTAAGTTTGTGGGAATGCGACCACATGTATAAAAAGAGAAGATGACCTGAATATCACAAAGGAGTTCAGTGGTAAAATAAGGGCAAAAAGGTACATTTTCAAGGTGTCCAGCTTTAATCTGATTTTACTGGAATTCATTATTAACCCTCAACTCTGCAAGCTGTGTGTGTCCTGCTCCATGAGCCACAATGTCACTACAACAAGTTGGTCTGATGTTAATGATGATGACTGTGTGTTTCTGGAAATGATGATCCACATGCTGCATGGAAGAACTGGTTTGGGGGAACTTGCCTCAGAGCTTGAGCCAGTACAATAACTGTTTCTTTTTTAGAATTTTATTTATTTAAAAAGCCAGCAGATCCTTTGCTAGCCAAAGACCATGCAAAATAATGGTAATGACATGGGATTTGTCTTTTGATTTGTAGTTACCAGAGGATAAAAAGCCGTACATAAGTAGTGATTTACAAAATGAGGAGGGAATCCTGTTGGTACATTTCTGATAAAATATTTATTATTTCTGTTAATCTTTGCTATCATAACCCCTCTCCAATATCTTCATGGGGACAAATAGCATCCTGAGAGTCCTCTTCATATTTTCTAGCCATACATCTACCAGAGTTTCCTCTTCTTTTAGACAGGAGCACACACAGAGAAAATTTGTGTTCACTGGATGAGTAAAAAGACATTTATTATCTAAATTAGCCATCCCTGGAATGTATTTAAATGCAGATTCCAAAAGTTATGAGGGAAATCTGGAGACAACATGTTCCAGATTTAAGTGTTTCATTCTTTATTTTAAAGTTTCTGTTTATGTTTTCACCATCATGTCCTACTAACACCTCTCAGAGAACCATATGAGGTGTCTAGTAGTTACACCTTGCTTGTGAGCTAGTTCTTCAGCACTGTATTTTGGTGACAACAGACTTATGCACTGCAAAGCACATCCTGGGAGAATCTCTAGTGAATACACATCAATTCATAAAGCAAAGTGGCTGCTACATGGCCATGAAATGTAAATATCCACACCAGAGTAACAGGTGCATATTGAGAAATAGAGACCCTGAAGACCTCCAACCTATTTCATAGTCCCCAAGCCAAATCAGCCCTTTATTGATACTATGTACACTGTTCTTTTAGACTTTGTAGTCTTTGAGAATGTCCCACAAACTGGGTGCTTTGTAGCATAGACAAACAGAAAATGTGAATGTATGGAAAGAACAAGTTTTGCTTTTGGTCAGCATTTCCCTTCTGTTTTTTTTCCTCTGCCTGACTGCGATATTGTGGAGTTCTCTCCTCACACCCCTCCCTGACACACCCAAGGGGAAGGTCTTGGCAGAGCCCTGTGATTCTGCTTTTTGCAGACACACAACATCTGTTGTCACAGGTAGGAAAGAGAAGCAAAATGGAGGCAGGGCAGCTGTTGACATAATTGAAGGCTCTGACGTCAATCCTTTTAATTAGGTGGAGAAAGAAGAGAGCTAGTAGATATTTTTAGAAAGCAGGATGCTGGGGATAATTACCTCATGCTTGAGGTCTCTGGGTTTTATCATTTTAAGCTCTACAGTGAAAAAAAAAATTGAAATTACATCTTTCTAATTCTTTCCACTGCCTTATTTATCCTTGCTCTTTTTCCACCCTGTATCAACAGCTGGATTATTCAGGACCTTTAATCAGAACTTAGTTCCACAAACTTTTTATTGCTTACCTGTCTCCTGCAGATCAGTTGCATGTAATTTCAGACCCTCAAAGACTAATTAATTGAAATCAAAGCCAAGAAAAAGGATTTTAGGTGGGGTGGGGTGGTGGTGATGGTGGTGGTGGTGTTAAATACACTGTCTGTCTCTCCCTGCTGCCATGGAAGCACAAGGTAACTTCAGAATTTCAGTATTGCTCTGTTATCACTCATGTCCATGCTAGAGCAGCTGGAGACTTCAAGATAAGCAAAGGTGGATCAAAGCTCAGGTCTTATGAGTATGTCTGAGTGAGTCTGATCTACAAATCATTGTGATCAATAAAAAGTCACTTTTTGACTTCACCTGGGCTTAGACCAGCCAACAAAGTGCACCAGTACTGGTTTTACGGTTATCCAAGGGTTTCTGCCTCTAACTCTGCCCTTATTTCTCCTATGGCAAGGCCCAAGATGCTCAGGGCCCACCTGGATACCCTGGCTGGAGGAAGCTGTAAAGAGGTTGAGCTTTACAGATGGAGCTTTTTTGCTGCAGGTCTTTCTGCTTTTTCCCAGAGGCTTACAGCTTCAGTACTGTTTGGTTGACATGGGTGTGTTAGAAAATGCCTTCACGCTCACAGTCCCTGTACCTGGCAGCCCTCAGTGCAGGAGGGATGAAATATTATTATCACAATGAAGTGAGGTAACAACACACAGCCTGAGCTACAATTAGCCCATAGGAGAGGTTGCAGTCCAAAAAGCACTAGCAGAAGGAGAGAACATTAAATACATTTAAAAAAATATAAATTGTATAAATTACCAGACTGAGCATAATATTTACCTTCTAGGTCTTGGTTTTCTGTTGAGTGCTCCACCATTAAACATCCAGCGTTATTCAAGACGTAAGAGAATTCAGGAAAGGCTATGTCCTCAGCTGAGATTGTCTGCAGATTCACAGAGATTACACTAAATTGGGAAAAGGTTATATAAACTGCGAAGATCCCCCTTTGATAACCATGAATATTACAAGCCTGGTTTTGTACTCTGGTTTCCTAAAGAAATGAAGATTAGGTTATGCACAGGTGGGTACCTCAGTCAGTAATTCTTGCTGCTTTCCCTTTGTCTCTCAAATAATGTTTAAGTCTGCTGATGAAGTTCAGCTAAATTTGGCAGCAGGGTTGTGATCTCCAAGCTTTAGAGTTTCTCCAAGTTTCATGAAAAAGGGCATTTGAGTAGAGGAGACAGAGTTCCTAGGTATGGAAGTACTACAGTATACTTCATCCCTTATAAAATTTTGTAGAATTCAAGCAAGATACATTATGAACACTGATGTCAGAGACTGCACATTTAGTACATGACATGCTATACTCATAGTGCTGAAATCCATACAGAATGAAGTCTGTAATTTCTGCACTTCAATAAATTATTTTTTTTTTCCCCTGGAAAAAATATAGACTCGTGACCTGCAGATCCTGACTAGACTATACAAACCAACAGGCTGAATTTTTGTCTTGAATTCATTGTCTGATAGCTGCTTGGCCTTATGCAGAATGCAGCGGTTCCTGTAACACCGGCAGTACAAAGGGTTTAGACCTGTGATCCTGTGAGTGCACTCTCATAGTCTAAACTATCTGGAGAGCTGATGTGAATTAACATGGCTTCTTCTGCACCCTGTAACCTACAATTTGAACCCAGCATTTATAAAGCAAGGAAATTAAACCCATCATTTATCATTACAGTTCAGATGTAACTATTTGGCACTTGAACAGGTGAGAAATGCAGGTGATAGATTTTTATTGCAGTTAAACTATTTATTATTACCCAGGCACACATTTTGAAAAAAGTATTAGTTGCATTAGTGCTTTGCAGGTGAAGGGAGGTTGTGTACCCTAGTGTCTGACTTGACCTTATACTGTCCTTCATTGATTGCAATGTTTGTAGTGCAAAACAGCTTTGTGGTAAAATCGCTGCACATGTACTGATGGTCAGAGAGCTGAATTCTGCTTTTGTTCTGCAAATGCAACTCCCATTACAGTTAGAAGCTCTAAGTTCTGATCCTCCAGTGTGCAGTGTGCCTCAGCTTCAACTGTGAGATCAAAACCTCTTTGAATGTTAACTATTTTGATTACTTTGTTGACTTAAGTAATTACATGCTTGAGCATTTTGTTGAATTAAGGTCTAATCTGTAAACTTGCTTATTTTATCTATTCAGTGTTCACTGAATCCAAATACTTTATTTTAAGGTTTAAAAATCTAGCTGATCAGATTGAGTGTATAGTACTCTGTGCAAAGATATGCTAGAAACAAGGTTGCTCAAAAAAAGGAAAACTACTTTCTTGAGCACACTGACAAAGGGAAAAAGAAAAATAGATGACATTTTCTAAAGAACATTGCTGTCCCTGGCAGGATGATATCTGGGAGCTTCCTAACTTGCTTTCTATAGAAACTTGAAGTTTTAAGATGCAAATCCAGTACAGCTTTATCTATTCAAACACTTTGTGCAAAGCAAGAGTGGATTACTGCACTGTTACAGAACCAGTGAAACCAACCATTTTTTCCAGCATAGGACAGCTACTTTCAGTACACAAAATATCCCAGTGTACTCCTCTTGCAGGGTGTCCTGTGTGTCAGTTAGCTGGCAGTGTCCCAAAAGCCTCCTTCTTCCCATACAGAGAAATCTTCCTTGATCTACAGATATCTTTTGCATGTGTCAATTGATGCATTTGAAGTACTTGAAATAAGGATTTGTGTAATACTACATAGCTTATGGATCTGCAGCTTCAAGTAGTACCTGGAGGTTGCTTTACCCAAGATGCCTGCAGAGAGGTAGGAGCAGAAGATCAAAAAAAACCTATTAGGTTGTATAAGTAGTGTTATAAGGAGTGTTTATGGCTGAATCTAAGCAGTCATTGCTTACCTAACTAGGAAATCCCTGTGTGGTCTAACTCTCATTCCTGCAGTCAGATATCTCAGCCTATGTCCATTTGACTGGTCACAAGCTCTGTTTCTCTTCCCCAACAAAGATGACTGTATCCAGTCATCTATAGATTATCCTGATAAGTCCTAGGAACACACTTCAATCTTCTTGGAGAGTAAACTGTCTGTCTTTGCCCATGCAAGATTGAAGCAGAGCAGTTGTCTTCTTTCTTCACTCTTTCTGCCTATTTCACATGTCCTGGTGTTGAGGGTGTTATTCATACACTCAGAAGAATACACAGAACTGGTAGAACAACTTCAGCTTCAGATAGTCCCCAAAAGGTTAACTTGATGGATGTTTGCCTGTGCAGAGATTGGAAGCAGTTATTTGTTTCACACATCCTGTTCCTAAAACCTTTTAATCTTTTTGTATATAGGTCAAAGATGCTAAAATTGAAGCCGGTAATGCAAATAGCAGGATTCAGAGTTTTATGTGTGGTCCTCATTAGCTAAGTGGGTTACCAAGAAATCAGAATATTAACTGTATTTTGCAGGCTATTTAAAACTTGGAGATGGCTCTAGATTTGCTTGCTTTTTATCGAGGCAAGAAGAAAGGTTGATGATCTAGAGGTTGCTAAATAATAATAACAGAGTTAGGGAAGTTACTGAAATGGCCATTTCTACTAACTTGGTGAGTCAAACGCTAATCAGACAGTGGTTTTACCTACATGACACTGGTTACCTGTTGCTTGCAATGAAACCACATTCTGAACCAGACAAGGGCAAAGAATTCATGCCTTGCAGCATCAAGATGCTGTCAGACCCAGGGTGTGTATTTAGCTTACTGTTGGGGACAAAACATGTGTTGGAAGAAGCCTTCCTTTACTTCGCTTCATCCAGAGAAAAGATATGTAGAGTTACGGGGAAAGGGAGAACTGCTGAGACAAAGGCATCTGTTCAGTCTGGATCTGCCTTCATCCTGGAAGGCTTCATATCTTAGTGAAATGACCCTCTGTTAGCCTAAGAAAAAAAATAAGCAGAGAAACCACTTGCTTTCCATGCATGGAAGGATTTGAGCACTGGGATCAGAAGGAGTTATTTCAGACCAGTCCATGACTGCATCACTGAAGCTCTGAGACACTCAATCCAATCAGCTAGATATTTCAACCTTTAAAGTGCTTCTTTGTACCTAGCAAACAGTGATGAGACACAATAAACATGCTTACAATTTACTTCACATGCCTGCCTGCCCTTCAGAACCAAGTATCTTAAATGCACCCATCCTACAGCCAGAAATGGACATCTGTGATTATCCCATTCAATACCCTCAGTGACGCACCCGCCTCTCTTCATTCAGCCAATCCAGTACTACAGGAATTATTGCTCTGTCCTTATTCAGGCCAGCAACTGATGGTGCACGTGGAACAAGCCTGCTGGGAAGACATCCAGGCTTTGCTTTGACTCCAAGTGACAATTAGTTTGCTACACACCCCACCCCCACTAATCACAGCTAATTACTGTGACTGCTAAGAAGCCCTTGTCTATCTGCCCACTTGGCTTTGCAGATACTTGCTGAGACCAAACCTGCTTCCATGTGGGGATGTTCACACAGCTCTCGAGATTCACTGCTTAACCTACACTTTCCATCAGCTAAAAACTTCCGCTGTTGCCTGGGAGAGGAGCTTGGTGGTGGTGAAGGGAGTCTTTAGAGGGAGGGGGCTTGGAGTTATCCCAGGAAACAGGCCTTTTCCATTCATGTGTTGGCAACTGTGGCAGAGGCAGCAAATTAAGTGTCAGTGTAAGGAACCGAGAAGATGAGCTCCTGGGCTATGTTCTCATTCCATACATCCATTGACTTAAAGCTTATACTGATGCCTTTTTATCTCTCAGAAAGTTTTAGAATTAATTAATTAGCATTTGTGAACTGTGAACACTTCCTCTGATATGAACTATTAAGTATCTCAGTGAAATATGAATAATCTTGGCATGCTCAAATTAGCTCAACTTTGGTATAGGTGAAAAGAGTAGCACTACATCATATGGAATATCTTGTGTTATTTCAAATGCTGTAATCCTTCTTTTATGGATTTCTGGGCTATTTTTATAATACTAATTCTGATTTAAAATATTAAGTCTGACAGCTCTAATCCATGCTTCATCCTTGCATATCTAGCAATGTTAAAACACTCTGACTAGTCTAAAGGCATTTAAAAACAATTCCAAGCTGTACAAAAATCTGAGGAAAACATTCAAGCAACACAGATTTCACCACTTCTCTGGTGAGAAGAGTTTATGGAGCTGCACAAGCCAGGATTGCTGTTGTATTTAGTGTATTGCCTTTGATTATGTCCCAGTTTGAAAGTGGCTGATTTAATTTTTAGCTTTCAGTTGTTCTGATGTAAGTAGAGCTTGGTTGTGATTGTCCACTGATATAAAAAATGGTTTGTACATTTCCAGCTGTTGTAGTTTTCCTTTTTCCTCATTATGGTAGCTGCTCAGCTCTACTCTTAATAAATTAAGCAGGTATATAAAACTGGGCTAGAAATGCCTCCACCAAAATGGGTGAGGCTGAGAGACTGCTGCTGAACCCTGTTCCCCTTGCAGGATACAGGTGCTTTGAGACCGGTTCAAACTACAGCCAGGCAAAAAAATGTTTCACCAAACTACTCAGCAGCATGTAACTCATGATAGCAATGGAGAAAATGGTACAACTCTGGAGTTATCTTGTGTTCTTAGGCAGTTTTGTCCCACTTTGGGTTGTATTTTGGGCTGTCTGTACGGCAGATAGAAATGTACTTTGCAGTTTTGAATTCTACATTTTGATACTGAAAAAGCTCAGCTAACCCCTCCAAGCTGCACAGCTGCTCTGAGAGGGTTTTCAGCCACAAAGTGTGAAATCTTTACCACTGGTTTGCAATTAAAATGAGAAAAATCCCCCAAAAAGGTTTTTAAAAATATGTAACTTGGTGGTGGTTTTCAATATCCAATGTGTAAAAGACAGGTTAGGTTTTTTTCTCAGTTTTGTACTGAAACCTGATTTGACCATGCAGGAAGTAATTAAGCTAGAACGAGTGGTTCTGTTTTATCTGATCTTTAGATAATTTAGAGGCTGGAATGGGTGAGGGGTTTTTTTGTTATTTGTAGTGAACAATAAAGACTTTGCTGATTATATGTGCAAGTAAACACAGCAGGCAAATTATGTGAGGCACATAAAAGTGAGAAAGGGCTAAGAAAAAGCATGTGAGGAAGAATGTACTTGGTTCTGCAGAGTTTGGCAGCCATATGTAGTGTGATTTTCTGATACGGCCAGCTGGAAAAATAGAAACATAAAAATATTGTGCTAGAAATCCAGTTCAAGTCTCCATCTCCAAGCTGGTTTATAATTTCAAATTCTTTATTTCTATCTGATACATTACTGTAACAGGTACAATTTTATTAACTTCCTTAATAGAGGAAAATGGAATTTATTTGCTATAGGGAAGGGTGTAAGAAGATCCAGAGAGGATACTCCATTTCAATTTTGTAGTTAAAGCTTAAAGAGTGGTTTGAAAGCAATGCTTTTCATTAAACATTTAAGTAATCTCTGATATAGGAAAGGTGTTTGCATGCTAAACAGAGAAGGGTACAGATCACTTTCTGTAATGGTAACACTGTGCCTTGGCTGACCCACAATGTTGTCTTGCTTGGACCATCTGGATATAGCTCAGTGACTACTCACCTTCACAAAGACTTTGTTTCAGAGTGGGACACCTGATGAGAAATTAATCTTATGCTTCAATCCACTATATTCACTGGAGAAAAGTTCATTTGCAGTGGGAATGTACATGGGTTGGTTGCCTGTACAGTCAAAGGAGAAGGTAGATGAATAGAAGTAACTGTGATCACTTCAGTGCAATGGAAGAGTAGGTATGGAGAGAAGGGGCAGGGGGATTATAGGGGCACAGATAGTGGCTTTTCTAAGGACAGAGACAATGGCTACTTTGAAAGACAAAGGCCGTTTTGTTGTTACAGAATGGGTTGTTAGGAATGGGCTGCCCACTGAGGTGGTGGAGTCCCCATCCCTGGAGGTGTTTAAGAGTCGGGATGACATAGTGCTGAGGGATCTGGTGTAGTTGGGAACTGTCAATGTTGGGTTAATGGTTGGACTGGATGATCTTCAAGGTCTTTTCCAACCTAGGTGATTCTGTGAAAGCACAGATGGTGGTTGGGATGTAGGAATCTGTAGGAAAGCAAGACTTAAGAGATGCCTAAGACACTTTTTCAAGTGGGCTGTGAGTTCAGGTTTCTCTGTTCTCAAGCATGCTTATAGCTAGGTTTTAAAAGAGGCTGGGTGGCTCTTCAGAGTATGTGATTTTAGCACCTCATGCAAACTAGGCTCCAAATAACCCAGCCTGTCCTGCTCCCATCACCAAAGTCAGTGCAGTCACTGGTTTCTTTGAAAAACTGTGCCCATCTATCCTAGAATTATATTAAACATTATGGCAAATGCATTAAGGAAATGCATTTTCTCTCATGCAGTAGTGACTGTGTAAGTGTTCTTTGCCACTGTTTGATTATTTCTCCCCAGGCTGGCTCTTTTGTCATTAGAGCCACACAGTGACTGTGGCCTGCTGACCTTGTTTTCATGACACAACGGATCAGTCTAATCTTTCCAACACACGACCATGGAGCAAACAAGGCTATGTCAATCAGCTGGGTTTATTTTAAGCTTCCTGCAAGCTGCTTCCTGCTTCTTGGCTCCTCTCCAGGAAGCTAGGATATTCTCTCTTCCTCTCTCACAGCCCCTGGTGATTACACACTATGTGTTCTGGAGATCATGTTCATTCCCCAAGTTAGAGTGAAGATGAGATCTGATTATCAACAGTGGATACCTTGAAGTCTCAGTCCGTCCACATTAATACCCATGCCAAAACAGGTGACTGTCTATTGATTTCCATTTCATACACTTCTTCTTCTCTGAAATGACTAAGTGTATTTGCCCTGATCCTAAAAAGCCTTCACACTATACATTATGGAGCACATGTCACATAAAAATAGTCATAACAGATCAGGCCAGGGTCCACTAAGCCAAATGTACTGTCTCCAAAACAGGCACTC